CGCGATGCCAAACGCGATGCCAAACGCGATGCCAAACGCGATGCCAAACGCGATGCCAAGCGCGATGCCAAACGCGATGCCAAACGCGATGCCAAACGCGATGCCAAACGCGATGTCAAACGCGATGCCAAACGCGATGCCAACCGCGATGCCAACCGCGATGCCAAACGCGATGCCAAACGCGATGCCAAGCGCGATGCCAAACGCGATGCCAAGCGCGATGCCAAACGCGATGCCAAGCGCGATGCCAAGCGCGATGCCAAGCGCGATGCCAAGCGCGATGCCAAACGCGATGCCAAACGCGATGCCAAATACGATGCCAAGCGTGATGCCAAACAACGCAGTAGATGCATCCCTGGATAGGTCCCATCGCGGTTATACACAAAAGAAACTATATTTGCTCTTTTTCAGTTTTACTACATGATATCTGATGGTGTCTGAGGACAATAGTCCAAATAAAACACTGTCAGTCTGAATCATCACTGCATGTACCCCAGTTGTACTTCCTTAAAATTAGCTGGAGCTGTGGATGTCTTAACTCAGCTGTCTCCAACCTTTTTTGCGCCACGGACCGGTTTATGCCCGACAATATAGAGTTATTCATAACACACGTGAAAAGACCCAGGAAAACCGAGTAAACGATAAAAACGATAACAAAACAATGAAAACCGATAAAAACCCTGAAAACTATACATTTCACACCTGAGCCTCAACTCTCACGGCCCGGTACCAAACGACTCACGGACCGGTACCGGTCCGAGGCCCGGGGGTTGGGGACCGCTGCAGTAAATGCATCCCTGGATAGGTCCCATCGCAGTCATACACAAAAGAAACTATATTTGCTCTTTTTCAGTTTTACTACATGATATCTGATGGTGTCTGAGGACAACAGTCCAAATAAAACACTGTCAGTCTGAATCATCACTGCATATACCCCAGTTGTACTTCCTTAAAATTAGCTGGAGCTGTGGATGTCTTACAGGAGCCAGACACCAGCCGTTGCTCCTGCTGTGTCCCCTTGAGAGCATTTGTTTCCACCGTGTGTTTTTACTCTTTCTCTTCACCTGTTTGTATTGTTTTGATGCAGGCCTGGCAAGTCCTCGGGACCACCCAGGCTGAAAATGAGAACGAGCAGGCAGCGATTGTCTCCCTCCAGAGGTAATGACAAACAACTGCATTCATTTAAAACCAAAAACGCTCGCAGACATTGGAGAACTGTCAGCCGTTGCTGCTCGGGAACACCATATGTTTGCACAAGTGGGACACTGTGGAAATATCATGTGAAAGATGAAGCCCAGCACGTGAAATTTGCCTGCGAGGTTTCACTGAACTGTTAACAGCAGTAGGTTCAGATAGAACGAAAGTCATAACTATATGTTAAAACAGCATTATAAACTGTGATGGTGTTCTTCTCATAATCAGGATCCGGATCAATAAAGTATTCTGATTCTGATTATAAGAAGAACTCCATCACAGTTTTGTTCAGTTATCCTTAAATGGAGATGGGAGAGCAGATTCTTAAAACAGAGACATGGACGGTGATAGCACAGAGCAGAAGCCTCAATGAGAGGTGGCCCACTTTCATTCACACGGGCGAAGCCGGGAATGACACTGTTCTGGGAATGTGAGTGCCGACAACAAGAGACAGCCATTCAGGAGGAAGCGTTCTTCCTTCAGGTCCATTTCCCAGAAGAAAGAAACCAGACTAGGAAAACGTGACCGCTGTTAGACGTGGAGTACAAACGGTGTGCGCTGTAATGCAGAATATCTTAGTTGGCTGAGCTTCCTGCGGTGCAGCAGAGTCCTGCACGTTCCTCTGTGGTTTGATTGTCTTTGTTATGTGACGGCTCTGCGACGCTCTTTGTGTATGAAGATTAAATGTTTTTAGCTTGTGGTGACAGTGGCATCGTTTCAGATTCACAACACTGCTGTATTTATTTTTATCTGTTTGTTGAATATGTCACATGCTTAACTTTGTTTCGCCATGTTTATGCTTTAATCCAGAACATGAGCTCCACCTGAAAATCAGAATTATCTGTCTTCTTTGACACAAAGGCTACACCGACAGTAGCTGTGATCGAAGGGCAGACTTTAAGATATAACTCGAAAACCGCATCACATTAACTGTTTAATAATTACTGCAAAGTCCATTTTCAGACAGGTGACTGAAAGGTGGGTTTTTGACGAGGGGAGACCCGCTCCCTTGTTATTCAACAAATGAAGCAGATGAAAGATCTGATTCCAATTGTTCACCTTCTGTTTAGTAGCTGTTTGCTGGAAACTGCCAAAAAGATGAGACGTTATATGTAAAGTTCATCATTAGGCTGGAAAACAAAATAAACATGGAAAGGCCAGTTCATGCCTTCATAAGAAAATCACAGAGGGCTGGAAGAGCTAAAGCAGAGCAGAAGTGTTGATGCAGATGATGCAAAGAGAAAAGTACGCCAAACCAGAGAAAAGTACGCCAAACTGGAGAAATGAAGCAAACCACATCGACTGTCAAACACAGGAGGCTGTGCTATGGCTCGGGCACAATTGTTTATTGATGGTGTGAGTGATAGAGGTAACAGGATGCACTGGGAAGTGTACAAGGCTATAGCCTCTGCTAAATGGTGCAAAACTGATAGGAAGGATTTCACAGTGCACACCAATGATAAGAAGCATACTGCACATAGCAAGGCAAAGATGGCCGACTCACTTTCAGCAGATCGTGCTCTTTAGTTACTGAAGAGAAAACTGGAGACAGAGATCCCAAAAAGTAACAACAGCAGGAGGTGAAGGCCTGGCAGATCATCTCCATGAACAGCTGTCGTGGTACAGGCCGTCACTGACAAAACTTGTGTCTGACTGTCTGATTATTTTTAAGCCTGTAAAAATGGGGACTAAGTATAAAAATGTCTATAATTCCAGTTTCGTGTTTTTGTTAAACGCCTTGAAGTCTGCACTTTGATCACAGCTTAATTGTTTGATTAAAATCCACTGTGACGTGTACAGAGGCAAACAAGGCAACACATCGTGTGAGCATTTATGGGCCTAACTTTATATGCAGTGAATATCCTGAACAGGGTTTACGTCATTTGCAGCGGGGCTGAAATAATTTGGTTTGTGCGAGATTAGGATGGTTTTAAGGAAGCTGGCACATCAGCTGTAGCAAATCTTGTTGAAAGCTAAATCTCGTTTGGCCTCCCCTTTAGTCTTTCGACTAATCCAAGTCGTTCATCCAACGCTGTTCTGTTCTTCTTCCCTTTTCCATTATGAAGTGCCAGCGCAGTGGCAAGCGTCCACGTGATATAACCGGTGATATAACTTCAGCAATCACTGCAAACATACTTTCCGTCTCTGGAACAACCACCCATGCCGTTTTGCCTAAATGCAAAGCTAATTCAAATCATCAGCTGTGGGCAGCATGCAAACACGACTCTGCAGAGACGGAGCAGGAGAGGTGCTGCTCATTCGCTCTGGCCCAGGAATCATTAGCCTTGGCCTGATGTTCCTCTGCTTCGGCCTGTCCCAATTAATGCTTGTCAAATCTAGATTTCTCTTTGAAGTGAACACCTTACTTGATTTCTCTTCTGAACGAATCGTGTCTCCATCCAGGTGTTTGGAGCTCCACCCAAACAACCTTATAGCGCTCCTGGCTCTGGCAGTGAGCCTGACCAACACTGGTATGCGCCACGATGCCTGTGAGGCCCTCCTCCGCTGGCTGAGACACAATCCCAAGTACAAGCATCTTGTCAAAGGCAAGACTCATCTAACGGGATCTCCAAACTCCCAGCGCAGGATGTCTCACGCTCCCAACCTGGGCAGACATGAAAGGTAAAGTATTTAAACTCTTTAGACCTAATTAAAAAGGATAAAAGCATAAAAACCCTACAGATGCACTGTCTCGTATGTTGGCTTTGCACACACATCAGAGGCTGCAGCAAGTCAAAGGTGTTGTTGATGAAGTGGAAAGCAACATGTAGCTGTGCAGGTTTCTTCAACTTGTTCTTGTAGCTGTTAACAATCACTAAACCAAGTTTAAGACACTAATACACTGATTATTTCCACAATAATTGGCTATTATTTTGCCATCTGTCTGTTTTCGTCCACCTCTCTAATTCAGAGTCACAGGGAGAAGGGTTATCTCAGCTATTATAAGCTGGACAGGTTGGTGTGTATTTAAAGGGCTAACAGAGAGACAAGCATTCACACTGCAATGCTAACCACAGCACATACATTCAGGACAGGCATGTGGACGCTAGCCTGCAAGGAAGGGTGTTGGTACTAGCAGCTAACATTAGCCACACATCAGTTTCTCCTTCTATTTATAACATTATTACGGAGCCCCGCAGGGGACATGGGAGAAAAAAAAGAGAAGAAA